AACTTTAAATAATTTCGTCGGTTATCATATGATAGTAAAATTTTGTTTGCGCACCTGGGTAAGATTAAAATACAAGTTTCTTATATGCAATAATCATAAACTGTATAATTGTAATATCTTTGACTTAAGATTAAAGCTAATAACAAAGAATACAAATGACCAAATATTATTATAAATAGAAACGATCAGTAGAATGAGGTTATATAGTTAAACAAATTTGCTACTATCCATTGATAACCCAAAAAGAAGTCGTTTAATTATCTCTCTTTCTTTGTTGCTCATTTCAATTCTATTTAATTGTGCCCTATACACCCATTTATCCTTTTTCCATGATATCAAACCAATTAAGAGAAGACTAGGAAAATAAATAATTGTTAAAAAACATAAAAATATTTTATGAAGACAACTTTTTCTATTCTTAAAAATTCTATCAAACAAATCGATTTTACTCATAAAGCACTTTTCCATAATCGAATCATCTTTTATAGCTATCACCTGAATTCTTAAATCATCAATATACTTTTGTAAATTTTCATGTTCTTTAAATCCGTCATAAGTCCTGATTTCCGTAATCCTGTCTATAATTCCTAGTAGGATTGACCCCATTTTTTTCTCTAAATCGTCTAGATCAATGTCTTCTACTTTATTGTTTTCAATGGCTTCCACAGATTGCTCAGTAATTTTAATATCCATGTTATACATTAACTTATTCAGACAAGTTTTTGGTGTTTCAGTTGAAGGGGTTTTTGATTTATTATCTTCAATAGATAGCTCAGACTGATTTGTATCTATTAGCTCGGTTTTGTTTTCCGGTTTATAGTACAATCTAATCAAATCAATGCTATATGAATCATCCGAAACAAGTTCTTTTTCAAGAGTTATAGTATTAAAAATATCTTGCAAATTTAAAAACGGTGAATTTAATTTTTCCATGGTAAGCAAATAATCTTCTTTATATTTATGATCTAAATCACTAATTAATCCTATTTCATATAATGACTTTCTCATATAACTATGGCCTATAGCGTCAGGGTCAGGAATATATACTGTTTTACCATTTTTAACAGGTCTGAAGTTTATAATTCCACCAGTATCATCAGTAATAGTGTTCATATAAGAATTTATAGTCATTAACAAATAACGTATGTTCTTTTGATAACTATTCAAGATTTGATCGTTATCTTTTGACGATTTCTCCTTATCCTTAAAATTTTCCGTAATCAGTTTTCTTTGCAATATAGTAATCTCACATGCTATTAGTATTGTGGTTACCATAATAACGGTAATACAAAGGAATTCATTTTTTTCATTTTCATACTCGTTATAAAAGCTGTAATATTTCTTTAGAAAACCAGATGTAGATTTAAACATTTCATTAACTAAAATATGCATATCTTTATATTGTGCGCTTCTATTTTCTAATTTTGATTTTTTTTTATCTGATTTTTTTGTATCATCTGATTTTTTCTTATCATCTGATTTTTTTTTATCATCTGATTTTAATTCTTTATCATCTGATTTTGATTGTTTCAATTTATTTGCGTCTGCTTCTTTAATTTCATCCACTTCATCCAACTGAGGAATGTAATATGTAATACAAAGAGAAACAGAAATGACCTCCAATAGACAAAAAACGGAAAAGGCAATAAGAATAATTGTTAAGTAATGGTATAAATA